AATATTTTAGAAAGCTGAAAATCAGACTTATTTAACCCTGTCTATTCAACCCCCGTTGTTATAAATTAATTGAATTCTTTTATGTATTAGGCACTGTGTTGGTGTTAGAGATTAAAAACCATACACAATTTAGGACCCAGCTCTCATGGAGCTTCTGCTTTATGAGGGAATCAGAGAACTAAACAAAAACTCCAGGTTAAAATTATAAATTGTGATAATGCTTAAAGAATGAGGGAAACTTACTTGGAGAGGATGTGGGAGATTAAAGTCAGGCATGGCTTACCACTGAGCCACATCCCCAGTCCTCCTTTTATTTTTTATTTTGAGAAAATGCCTTAATGAAATTGCACAAACTGGCCTCATACTTCCAATCCATCTGCATCAGCCTCTGAGTAGCCTGAATTACAGCATCATGTCACCACATCTGGCTAAGTGACTTTCAAGATGTAATAACTCAACAGAAGGGAGTCAAGGGAAAAGCAGCAGCATTCAGGGACTGGAGACAGCACTGGGCATATCTGAGGGAGAGGAGAGCTTGGGGAAGTCGGAGTCTCAGAAGGAGAAGGTGTGGCTGAAGCAGAAAGCAGGAATGTAGACCCCACTCCAGGAGCCTGGGGCAAGAGTGTGCAGGTTCGAGCTCAGTCTGAGAAATTTAATGAGATTGTGACTCAAAACAAAACTTAAGAGAAATGGACTGAGATCCATAGTTCAGTGTAAACTCTCTGGGTCCAATTCTCGGTCCAATCCTCTACACACATGCATGAAGAGTTGGGTTCCAAGAGGCAAGTGCAGGCCAGATCATGCAGGGTTTTGTGGACATGGTAGGGATTTGGATTTAACATAATGAAAAGCAGCTAACAAGTTTTAAAAATTGGAACGTGATTAGTTTTGTAAAGATCCATCTGGCTATAATTTGGCGAATAGATAAGAGAGGAACAGAAGTAAAAACAGGTTAGTTAGAAAGTGACAAATAATTCAGCTTTGTTGAGGCAGATGAAGAGACATGGGTAGATTTAAGCTATGCTGTAATTTAGAAATTAAAGTGACATTGGCTAGGAGCTCTAGGATATTATTAAGTAACAATGGTGACACATTTGTCTTATTTTTTATTTTAATGGGAATTTCTTAAATAAATAATTACTGGCCTAAGTCTGACAATCCTCAGGAAGTCGAAACCCTCTGCAAGTTCCTATGTAAGACTATTTCCTGTCCACAACACTGCTTTGGATTTGGGTGTATCAAAGGTTTCCTCTTCAGTAACCCACCCTCCCTCCGGCCCTGCTGCAACTGTTCCCTTCACAGCCAGTTCTGGAGAGGATTTTGGCATAGTCTCTTTACCTTGTCAAATGTATAGTGGTTCGCTCTTCAACAAACTCCAGCCTGGCCTCTACTTTTATTATTGCATCAACATTTACTGTGACACACATAGGAGAGACTAAAATTGCCAACAAGGGACTGGTCAAACACAATATTGTATCATACAGTGGAATAGTATGCAAGGATTGAAAATAATACTTTAAAAGACTCTCATGTTCCTGAAGTACTGTGGTCCTTTATAATTATTCTCCTCTTGTCTGCTGTGTGTCTCTAGATTCCACACTCTCTTTTGAGATTCCATAATTACTAATGAGTGATGCAACCCCAGAGGTTAAACATATTTCACATTAATTAGTTATTCACTAGCACTATCAGAATTGAGAAAATTCAACACACAATCTGTAATGACCAATGTCAAGCCTCTGGCTTGGCTGTCATACTCCATCACTGTCCCAGCTGCCTGGGACGCGCATAATTAAACGTTGGCATGGTTACTCCCACACCAATACTCAGCGGCCACAGAAAAATTAGTCTGATTTCTGAAGCCATAGTTACTATTTTATTCCATCTGTTCTCTTCATTTTCAAATCATCTGCTCAATGAAAGTCCTTACTAAACAGTATAGAAGTTTTACACACGTTATCAGGGTAACTGAAACAATTGTGTAACCGGTTGTCATTCAGTAAAATTCCCCAAGATGAACCAAGAGAGAATTCACAGGAAGTAAGGCGACATGTTGACAGGCACTTTCAAGTGATGATGGGAAACTGCCGTATATATTTATGGTATTTAATATTCTTACATTAGTTGTGAATATTAGGCATAATTGCCAAGAAAGCTTTAATAGTGAAATCCTAAATACACATTTCAAATTTGACCTGCTTTTATCCATTTAGTCTTTCAATTTTACTTTAGCTAAAAATTAAAAAGCACCTGACATAAGATTTTTTTTAAACAAGAAAAATCAATCCTTGGTGTGATTACGTGATACACCTTATTTATCCATTACCACACGAATCAAGAGTTTTATTTTTCTATAATACTTTTCTTTTATACATAAAGTAACCCTATCATTTCAAATTTGAAAGTATCATTGACAAGAGTCTCTGATCACACAATGTAAACATAACTAAGGAAGCTAATTTAGGGTAAACAGAGATAATGTGCTGTGTACGTGGATTTATGTGTATGCCCATCTGGGATTTGGGCATCTGCAGGGAAGTCTTTAACCAACATATCATGGATATCAAGAGATGGCTGCATTTTCAAATGAGCCCCTCTGCACTCGGACTAGGGACATTAATCTACTTTCTAGAGACAACTTAGACTAGTGAGTTAAGTTGGCCTGAAGCTACTTTTGCAGCCAGGATAAGAAGCAACAGATCTCTCTGCTTGGTCTCCTTTTGATTATAGAATTATCCACTTAGAAATCCTCATATACTATTTTATATTTCAAGATTGATGTATTCTTCATTTTTTGATCAGTAACCATACATCCTTGGTAGAGATGACGACCCTGGATTGAATTATATTATTTTTTAGTACTTTATTTGGCAATTAGTGTCATTCAAAATTACCAGATTTTAAAAAGAGAAGAGGGACTTAAGAAAGGAGGGTCATTCTGTAGTTATATACTTAGTTTTCCCACAAGAAATTGAGATTCAAATTAGACTGATTGGCTTTGTTCAGAAAATAATACCTTGTGAGTGATCCAAAAACCTCATGCTGTTGTCACGCATGAAAATGAATGCTTTGTGGACTCCAGTTTAACTCTCCTCTAAAAATATGCATTATGGGTCAGGATATGTGGATTACTCAGCATTGCACAAAAAGTAATAACATTTTTTAACATAAGGGTTATTACAGGAATCCTACCTCTGACTATCCATCATTGGAATTATGATTCTCTTTTGATACTTTTTTATGTTTGATGTCTCTTTTTGACAACTTTCAATCATTCTCCGTAAGTATGGCAAAAATTGGCTATTTGAATGCAAGCAAGTAGATATGAGGAAAGAGAACAGAAATCTTTGAGGACTACAGCAACTGTTTTTGCTATACTTCACGGCCTATGAAAACACAATAATTCTCACACAATACCGACTATATATACAAAATAAGATTCCAGCATGTCAGTGACTGTATTACCCAGAATGTGTATGACCTTGATGAGTCTCACTTATTCCTACAGGTACAGTTCCACTGGTAAATCATGTGTAAATACAGCATTTATTTAAAGATACAGCCTCACAATGACTGTTGTCTAAAGCAAGAATGTTTAAGGAATTTTTTTTAAAAAAGAGACCCATTTTATAAATAGTCATAATTTAATGCAATTTTCCTGAATTGCATGGTTATCATATGGCTATTGGGTTTTTTTCTTCCTCACAGTTCAATGAGGAAAAGTAATTATTATGTAGCTTAAAACGTGTGCTTTGCCTTATAATTATAATAGATGCTCATTGTCTCTATAAATACTTATTGAAGAAGCAAATAACTGATCACTGCCAAGAAAGTTAAGTGCAGGCAACACTGTCTAATTTGCAACGATATAATCCTCCTCTGGCATTCCAATTTGATGACGTTTGATGTACACAACAGTTATAAAACAAGGAATGGTATTGTTGCTATTTTATTTTAAAACAAAAGGAGATTTTTGGAATGCAGAAGAATTCGAATGATCATCTGCAGGGAAATTTTGGACCAAGCATTTCTATTCTTGATACTAGACAATAAAAATATTCATCAAACAGTGATTGCTCAAATAGTTTTCTATTTAAACTATCAAATAACTTCAGTAATTGTTTGCTGAAGCAAAATACTACCTTAAAATGAAAGATTAACCACACAGAACTTAGTTCTATGAGCAGATGTCTTGAGATGACAGCCCTGTGTTAGGGCTGGTACCTCAACGTCCCCTGTCCCCCTTTCCCATCCTGCCCTGGGCCCTGGGAGGCGGAGCTCTACAGGCTGTACACACCTGATTGGCTCTTGCTTTGGACCAACCAGTGGCAGGGACCAGGTGGAAGAGTTTATGCCCTGGCGCCCCTTTGGGCCTGACTGCCTTGGGCTGCCTGCTTTTCTTGGCCCCTGTCCCTAGCCTCCTGGACAGGTCTTCCTGCCACCGCATCTGTTTATTGTGTGAGGAATGAAAAGGTCCCCTGTGCCCTGACCAGGGACATTGCAAACCCTTGTGGTTTTTCTTATATCCCACTCATACTTTTAAGACCATCCTTTTACTAAACTTTCAAATTATTCTAATTATAGTGTGCTGTCTCTTTCATGTGACACGCCATTACAGCTAGTTTGTATTTGTTCCTCCAGGAAACAACTGTATTGATAAATCAGGTGAATATTTGTGCAAAGACTTGAATGTGGTGGATGAAGGACACCGTGACATAAAAATATAACTCTTAGCGTTTGAAACCTTTACGTATCCATGGAAGGTACTGAACTAGAAATGTCTAACTACCATCTAAGAAACTTCAGAAAGACTTGTGCCAATCACCAAAATATTAAGTCTATTTTAACTGAAGCAAAGATTTGCAGATATTTCTATAAAAGTATTGAATTGCGTACATGAAACACAAAGACACTATTTGAAATTGATAAAGGTCACATTTGAAAAGATTTTTAAGAGTGCAATTTATCTTTACAGTGCACATAGAAAGGGAGAGATTTACCTTTATGCCAGTTTCTCCTTTGATGCCTTCAAAACCTTGCTCTCCCTGCAGAAGAGAACATAGTACATATAGCAACAGAAACAATGTAATACTTGTAGTAATAAAACTCCCAATAATAAAAAGATCACTAATTTTAAATAATCACTCCTATCTTGTAAATGCTAATATTAATACAAAATTTAAATACCCTAAATTCCAAAGGAACAGTTTTTAGTAGCTTTAGTACCTGCAAGGTAATTTAATCTTCTTAAGCCTAAGTATGACAGTAGTACCTTCATCACTGATTTATTTTGAGAACTGAGGTTGTCATTCTAGTCCCCACGTGGACTGTTAGCCACTCTTGTTATTATTACTGTTTATTTCACTAGGTACAGACTTCTTAGCAGACACCACACTATTCTTCCAGGGAGATTTGTATGGTGAATAAATTCACGTTCGAACCATGGAGCTACGGCCCCTGCTCCAACACCAGCACCATGCCTCACCCGCCCTCTGCTCGTGCCCCTCAGTTGCAGGAAGAGGACCTGTGGTCTCAGGGCTCCTAGCTGGAGTACCATATTTATTCTAAAAGACATAAGTCCCTTTTCTTCAATAGACTCTCTGGTCTGATGTGCTGTTTTCCCACTTAATTTGCCGCAGGAGTTACAGAACTGATGTCCCTTTCACACACTCGACGAATACGCCCTGAGAGCCTCCCAATAGGCGGCATTCATGGTGACAGTTTGTGCAGAGTGCCCTTCCCGTGCGCCCTCCGTGCTGGCGCTGTGACCGAGGAGGCTTAGGGAGAAGTCCCAGGCTCACAGACCTCAAGTTTTTGCTGCAATGCCTCAGCAGAGGTCGCTGGTATAACAAAATCCTTATCAATTGTATGAAAAGGAATGTCAGCTTTTTACTGCGTCTACACATACGTAGTACGTGAACGTACGATATACACATTATAGAGGATACACATCATCAAATACCAGCTTCAGTGTTTTGCATATGTACACATACATCTGACCAACAACACTTTGACTTCATTCTCCAGGACAGGAGATAGGTTAATTTGTAGGTACAGTCACAATGATCTATGTTTTTCTCTGTCTTGTCTGAAGCATGTACTCTAACCTGATCTGTTAACTCAAGCTGACAGTGACGCTGCCAGGCGACGCCAGTACACCAGCCGCACACCACAAACAGCTGCCGGAAAGTCCAAAGCTCTTTCCCAGCAGATGAATCTGCACAACTCCTGTCTCGCCACTCGCCTGGCAGACGCAGCAGGCGCAGTACCACCGGGTTTTGTCTAGAACCGCTGTGAGGAAATTCAGAAGCTCACCACTGCATCGCTGCCAGTTCAAGCTCATTATCTTTACCGGGCCAAACAGAAGAAGATTTTTTTTCTCTTAAAGCTGTAACTATAAGTGCAAACATTTTGAAGTGATATTTTTAGCTACAGATAAAAACCTAAATTCATAGCAACTTCTGACATCTTATAATTACAACCGGTAGAGCTGGTCTAGAAACGCAGTGCTTGGCTTTGTTGGGCATCTCCTGTCGCACGGTGAGGCTCTCCTCCGCAGTGGGTTGTCTGGGCTGAGTCATGGCAGCCGGCCCACCTGAAGTGACGCCCTGTCCCTCTCGGAAACTGGAGCACATCAGTCCCTGTGCTTCCAGGAACGCTGGTCACCTGCGATCCTGTGCTTCCCCAGGGTGGGAAGGCCATCCTTGGACAGCGAAAGGGGGCCGGACAAGTTCATCTTGGTAAAGAAAATGATGCCAGGCCCTGACCTACAGAAGCTCCACCAATGAAAATTTATTTTCATGATTTTGTCATTCTGCAAGTCATATTTGGAAGAGATTATATTCACCTATGTAATATTTATATAGCACCTATATAATATTTAGTATTATTAAACACCTATATAATATTTAACACCTATATAATATTATATAACACCTATATAATATTTAGTGTTTCATGTCACTGTAACTATTACTTTTAATACAATCTGAGCTATTAAAAAGGATAAGTAGGAAGTCATCAAGTCCAGTCCAAGGCAGGAAAAACCATTCTACTGCACATTTTAGACAGTGGCTATAAGCAGTAAAAATTTCCAGAGTAGCGTCTCAACTTCCGGGGCCCTCACAGAGCACTGTCCTGGACTTCCTTGGTGGAGTGTGATGTTGAAGTCCTCCGATGAAACCCTTTCTACAATGGTAAATTGCTTCCTTGGGTCTTCTTTGGAAAGACTTGTCACTAGGTTTCCAAGAATCTTTCATGAAATTCACTTATATCAAATACCTTTTCTGAATCTGTACTAAATTATGCGCAAATTCAATTGTCAAGATGTTAAAATTCTTAGTTCACGTGCAACACACCAAAATTCTTTACCTTTTGACCAGGTAAGCCTGGAGCCCCGGGTAAGCCATGTTCACCCTAAAAGAAACACACAGAATCAATTGTGTTAGCCAGAAAAAGAAATGAACAGATACATTTGTGTATATGTGTGGGTGTGGGGGGGTAGTCTTCAATAACACTGGTGCTGTAGAGAAATGTACCCTGATACTAAATACCCACCGTGTAAAGGGGCTTTCCATCTATCCCTTGTCTCACAACTGTAGGCCCTCCAGTTCATTTTAAAACAAAGAAATACAGGCTCTGAGAGGATAAGTAGCGTGTCCATAGTCACCCAACTTTTAGCATTGAGATTTGAACTGAGGTCTCACTGACACCCCAGCATGTATTTTCAACATGATATTTAGCAACCCTTATTTCATTTCTTGTAAATATCTGGGCAAAATACTAAAGTCTGACATGGTATTTTTTAATGAGCCAAGTGCTGTTCTCCTGTCAGGTAAATACTATGACTGTGACTATTTTACAGGTAATGACACACTAACCAGGTGGTAACGGGGGTCCGTGCCCAGCTGAGTTCTGTGCACTTAGCGCCTCCCTACCTTTTCTTCGGGAAAAGTGAGATAATATGGCTTGTAAATATCTTTTTGACTACAATCTGAAATACACACACACACACACACACACACACATAGTATTTCATATACATATGCACACAATTTATCACACATCCAAGCACATTTCCACTCTTATCCATGTCTGTGGATTGCCCTTAGATCAAATTTGCTGTCATATATGATGCAATTTTATGTCGGAAAAATTTTTAGTTCTTTTTATTCATCTGGTGCCTGTTTTGGGTAGAAAGGCTTCAGCAGATGTGTATCAGCTTCTATCACGGGAATTCACGGCTCAGGTATTTGACAAGCGCAGTTTGTAAACAGCACACCAGCTAAGAAGAGACATTCCTGGGAGGATGTGCAAGTTCTCAGTGGAGCCTCAGGACTCTACCTGGCTATTGGAATTTACTTTGGATCCCTAGTTTGGAAGTTTAGGCAGCTCAAGATGAACGAGCAATTCTTTGACCTGCCCTACACCCACCAAATATTTATAATTAAAATTAAAGCTATTAGAAAATAGCTTTCAAGCATTTCATAGCGCAGGCATTTCTAAAAATTATGTAAACAAAATTCAAGAACATGAAGAGAAGAGGCACAGCTTCAAGCTTTAAAACACCAATGATATGTTTTTCTAAATCTAAACAAATTTCTATTTTTTGATTAATTAATACACTGTTGGAAAGTTTTAGTGAATTTTACCAGAGATATCTTGCTATGCACACATATTATTTTCAAGATTAAGATTTTTCTTAGATCAGGTTAAATTGCCAAAGTATTCTACAGTATAACTACTACCATGATAGGCCTAAACTTTCTTGCTAAGTGTAATTAAGCAATGAAGCATCAATAAAACATATTTACTAATATAGTAAATATTTATATCACTTAAAAATTATAACTCAAGATCTTAGCCATCACTCAAGTCTGTTAGAAACTTCATTTGATAAGGTAGTCCCAAAAGCACACCAAGAATTTGACACCAGGGAACAGACTATAGAAATGAACCTCTGTTACTCATCATAGAAGAACGACCATTTGTCCAAAGGATCAGATTATCTTCACCATTGATCTAATATGATGTTTTATATCATATTACAAGTTACACATGACAAGAAGCACACTGACGCAGTATTTACATGGCCAAACATACTGTTTAGGGGGAAAAAAACCCCTAAAGAAGGGACAATATCTCCACTGTCCCTTTGCTCACAGCCCTGTGCTCCTAGTACTGGCATTCAATGCCTTCCCTCTGCCATGTGAGGGTCAGGGTCACACCCAGACCTATGGCTACCTGGGAACCAAAGTCTTCAAAGCTGTGGTATAGAGACTGTGCCTTCAGTTGACCCAGGTGCTTTGATCATTATGATTAAAATCGTATATCTTCCCATGGCCATGATGGATTGGCCTCTCCTCTTTTCTGACTGGAAATGTATTTTATAAGTATAATTCCAACCTAAGATAACCCTGTGCATATCACTGATTGGCTCACAGGAGATGAGCTGGCCTCCCATAATGCACCAACATGGACAAATTTTGAAATATTGCTGGCCTTTTTGAAGAACAAGCTTGTAACTCTGCTATTCAAATGTGTATTATATTCTTGCTGCCTTTTTTGAAGTTACTATAGATGCTCTACTTAAAAAACTATAATCATTGGGGGGGGCATTGAGACAGGGTCTATGTAGTTGAGACTGACCTGGAACTCACCATGTAGCCCAGGCTGGTCTCAAATTCACAGCAATCCTCCTGCCTCAGCCTCCTGAATGGTAGGATTACAGGCATGTACCACTACTCCCAGCTAAAACTGTAATCATTTTAAATAATCTGTCTTTCTTCTAGTCCTTGTGGGATAAATGAGGATTTTTTTGGTCTCTGTTTCCAAAAGAAAAGATTAATTATCATAAAAACCAATGAAAGTCATAGTCCTAAAGAATATAAAAAAAAAATGGATGGTGATGTTTTGGTCAGAGCTCACCCTGAAGCCAAATTTACATCTTTGTCGTCCCTCAGAGGCATAGGCTCAAGGCCCTTAGTGCTGTAACAGTTTGGGGCCAAATTTAATTCTGCCTATAAAACAATTACCTGCCTAACATGACTCAGAGAGTGCACATTATTTGACTTTTCTGAACTGCTCCAAGCTCTTCTTCCTCCCAAGGTCAGCTCAAGAAAGACAAGAAATTATTTTCCTTAGTTTCCAATATTTCATTTCATTATAGAAAATTGCAATCAATGGTTCTCAACAGAACCATAACTTTCAGAACTTGTCTGTGAAGCATACTCTTGAGAATGAGAGTTGTTTTTTTGGGGGGGGTGGGATACTGGGGATCAAACTCGGGACCTTGCGCTTGTGAGGCAAGGGGTGGAACCACTGAGCTAAATCCCGGCCCTTCTGAAGTATACTCTTTATCACAGGTCTACCTGTGAAAAGACTCATGTCCCTTTCCAATTACATATTCAAATGGCAGAGGGGCCTATGAATAAAACTAAGTAAATTACCACTGCTCTGATAGTATTGTTACCTATGTCATTACTGTAACACATAGCCCATCTTCAACTTCCTGGAACAATCAGAAAGCACCTTCACCAAACTGGAAATAATCTCTTTGTAGTTTTTTTAAAAAAAACACTAATGTGAAGTTTAGAGATAGCTGGTGGCTTTCTGAAAATCTAATAAAAAGATTTCGTTTTGCCTCCTTTTTATCACTGTACTTTTCCCAGTGGTCAATGTTGCCAGGTATAAGGTATAAATTATTGGTTTCCTTATTTCTTTGATATTGGAGTCAATCTATTTCTCATTACAGGATATATATGTTGTCTAAAAGATATTTGATTGGGAGTTGCATTCCCTAGGGCTAGAGGCAGCAAATCTACAACACCAAGCAAGGAAAGGTAGAGAAATCAGGTAAACAAAGACCTCACAAGTAACTAGAATTCGACTAAAAAAGTATGAAGTCATATACTATGTGGTACTGCTTATCGTCAAAAAAGTTAAGCATTCACGCTCTGATTTAAAAGTGTAAGATACCATTATTATATTGTTTCTATAGCAACATATAAAATTTGACCTATCATTTCACTTACAGCATGTTTCCTGGGAATAAAACCTTCTGTGTGATGTTAGTGTACACTTGGAAATATATTAATATTTCCATGGCTAATGAACTGGTTTTCATTAAAATAAAATAGCTAGGAAGAAATATCTGACATAGAATACCGTACTTCTAACATGAAAGCCAATGAAACAGGCAGGAGAAAGTAAATTTCATTTTTATTTTCTGTATCACTAATGTCCTAGCTACATTTCTGACTATGTTTTTGCCTACCCAGTCTTAATTTTCAGAAATTTAATTTTTATAAGGCTCTTAAATTTTGAGTAGTTGATAAGCATTTCCTAAAATACATAAAACACCTTCCATTTTTTTGAGATCTCTTATCTAACCTGAGTTCTTTTGTTTCAGGAAAGTTTTTCCTTCTATATTTTGAGTCTTCATTCCATGAAATGAACTGTTGAATAAAAAAATATATGTATGTTGGATATGGCTTAAAAGCTGAAATGTTTAGAATCATTTATATTTGTTGGATCCTTAGTGTAGGTGGTATATGGAGATTCAGCATCACATACATACTCAGGATCAGACCAATTTAAAACCTTCTTAATCATAAAGTGAATGAGCCTCTCATTATTTTTTCTTATGAGCCATTTTAAGAAGGGAGAGCCAGCCTCCGAGGCTAAAGTACGGCTGATATATTTCTTAATCACAGTAACATGCATATGAATAATAAACAGCAGGTAAGTTAAGCAGTTGCTCTGTCAAAGTGTATTATCCTGCAGGTCTATGTATGTGAGCTCACATAAATATACAGAGGTTCATATGCCCCAAAAACAAGCAGGATGGTTATTCTTAAATATAGGACAACTATAAACTAACACATTTATATTCACCACTGTACCAAGAAATCCAGCGCGGCCCTAATTCTATGCATAGCTTCTGTAATTCAAGTATTTTTGCTGTTTCATTAACATTGTGGAGAGCAAGGGAAAACAATTCCAAATATAGTTACTGAATTAATCCTTTCTGAACCTAAATTAACCTTCCTCAAATTTTTGACCACTGATTTTATTTTTGCTGTCTTCAGTGACACAGTAAAAAAATCTTACAGGTCTTTTATACGGTGTCCTTTTGTGTCATTATGAAGCCTTCTACTCAATAAATCATTCATTTTTTAAGAGAATACTTGGAGTCCCTTGATATTGTGATCCTGGTTCTCTGGGTATGCACCATCAGTCCTTATGTCTTTTAAAATGTGGTACTCAAAGCTTACCACCAGACTCCAGAAATGGTCTTACACAGACAGGAAAGAGAGCAGCAGGGCTACCATGAGCGAGCGAGCAAACACACACACACACACACACACACACACACACACAGAGTTTGGAATAGTAAATTACAATTCTATTAACAC